GAAGCCTCATTCCAATGAATCAAATGCTATATATGATCTGTGCTGCTGCATACTTACAGAGTTCTCACTACTAGAATGTCTCACTACTAGAAAAGGAGCCCTGAGATATAAAAATACCTGGGAAGAATGACACCACGTGAGCAAGCGGGTAGAACAGAGAGTAATAAAGTTCCCTGTGATCAATGAGCTCTTAATAAAACAAGGATGCCTTTTGGTGGTTGAGATCATATATGCTATTCTATTCAATGACAATTGTAATAACTGTTAGGATAATCATAATATACCCTTTTCCCCCCTTTTCATGTCTTTGGGTTAAATATCCCATTGTGATAGGGTGGTCAGAGTACGCTACTTTAAAGTCAGATGACCTGGACTTAAAATCTCTATTCTGCGACCTATTATTTGACAGATTCATATATATTTTAGCCTTTGTTATACTGGAAATAAAATAGAAGTAACATCTACCTCATAATACTGTTATGAGGATTAAGGGAGATTATCCATATGGAGAAAGAAAGAAAAACCAGCAGCAGAATTCCCCAAGGAATGAAATGTCTGTTTTGTTGATTAAACACTGATTCACCACAGGGAATGGTAAGGGACAGTTGGAGACGAAAGAAAGCACAAAATTGCTCTGCATAATAAAGTAAAAAGAATCTTAAATTTTCACAAGCAGTTGGAAAAGAGAGAGAAGAAAAGGAGCCCTGAGATATAAAAATACCTGGGAAGAATGACACCACGTGAGCAAGCGGGTAGAACAGAGAGTAATAAAGTTCCCTGTGATCAATGAGCTCTTAATAAAACAAGGATGCCCAACATTCTATTTTAACATCCCCCTCCACAAGGTTATGCTCTAGTGTATGGGCTAGTGGGAGATTAGAAAGGCAGCATTTGCACAGGCAGAAAGGTAGGGAGGCAGGAATGCACAGGCAAGAGGGACACAGGGAAATTTTAGAAAAAAACAAAGTACATGCCTGCTAGAAAAATAAAACAAAAAAACTATCTTTGGAAAGACACAACTGCCTTGTGTAACATCTTAGTAAAGTCTGCTAAATATAACTGCCTTGTGTGAAGTGGTGTTTTAAGGAAGTAAGGAACTTGTGGGCTGTGTTCCAGATTTGAATTCACACAAGGTGATGAACAGGGAACAGCTATAAGAGATAAGACACTAGCAATTTGAAGAATTCAGCAAAAAACAGAAATGATACAAGTGGTATCTGAGAGAAAATTAAACCCCAGAGTTTCTGGGGGATGGAGATAAAAGGTAGGATTCATTATTGTTTAAAAATCATGGTACAAAGTGACCCCACCAGACCCCTGGAGGGTGTGGAGGAAAACCAGGCAGCTGACATCTGGTTACAGGCTGCCTTATTTCTACACAGTTGGCAGATGGTAAATGTCAACTCTCTTTCATTATATAGAATAACACATCAGATACAACTGTTTTCATACTTCTTACAAAATTTTTAGGAAAAAGTGAAACTTTAAAGTGATATAAAACTAGCATGACGTTTGTTCGTTGTCCTTTATGCAAAAGACTACCAGGACTGTGCCAAAGGAACTGGTTAATTGGAAGCTATTGGTGCGCGCACGCGCGCTGGCACAGGAGTGGGGGTGGCTACTCAACTATGGGGAAAACAGGTACCTATTAAAACCCACCAGCCACTCCTTGGAAGGAAGGCTGGGCAATCTACTTCCGCAGTGATACTGCCTCGGAAACCCAAGGAGGGGTCGCTATGAGTGGTCCGACTGGAGAGTACATAACAACAACATTAAAACCCACTATAGTCTCACTGAGAGCTCTGGTAGCCTAGTGCCTAAGGCATTTGACTGCTTACCAAAGGCCGACGGTTCAAACCCACTAAGCACTCCTGAGAAGAAAGATGGGGCAATCTACTTCCCTAGTGATACTGCCTTGGAAACTCAAGGAGGGGTCACTGTACGTGGGATCAGACTCAACAGTAGTGGGTTTGGGTTTCTTCTTGATAGTCTCGCAGCACAATTTTGAGACCAGTCAAAGAACTTCCATCCTGCCAGATAATGAAAGGCTGAAAATTTGAGGAGGACACTCCAGCAGCTTTGGCAGGAGAGCCTGACAGTTAGAAAGCTGAGACTCAACAAGTCTTTTCTGCAGTATGAATGATCAAGTGGATTCCATTCTCCGAGTTTCTGAAACACTCTAGCAACAACATAGCCTTGTCAAATAAAGAATCAATTACTATGCTACTTTGTGTTAAACCGGTTAGGTATTTATGTACAGATGTTAGAGAAATTTAACAAAAGCCTTTTCCATTCTTCAAATTATTATACCAAAGGAGAAGGAGAAAAAGAAAGAAAAAGCGGGGGAAAGAAAGACTTGTTTGCTGGGCAATCAGGTGCTGGAACAGACGCAGCCTCTCCTGTCTCCCGGGAAGGTTCCTGAGGTTCTGCAGAGAGCAGAGTTCGGGAACCGGGAGCCCAAGATACCGTTCATTTGGAGGAGTCTTTAATGCACAGGTGCTGACATTCACTCCATTAAAAAAAAAAAAAAAAAATAGAAATTTTTCGTATATCTGTTTGAATAAAATAAAAGGAGTTTTTGTCAAACTTCAATTCCTTTATTACTAGGAGGGGGAGTATAGGGGCGACAAGAAATTCATAACAGGTTCACGCGTCTCCCAGGAGTTGGTTTTGCACAGCGTCCGTTTCTACAAAGACTGAGACTTAAACTCTCACCCCTATGCCTCGAGCATCAACACTAGCAAGGGGAGACCCCACACCCAGCTTCATCACCTCCTGCGCCCCACCCACTCAGGGCTTGCTTGGGGGATTGTTGCAGAGTGTAACAACCAGTTCCTACTGTGACTCACGTCCCCAAAATGAGCCTGCCTCCCCGCAGCCAGCAGCCGCCTGCTCGCTCCTACCGTGGCTCATGATCCTTGCTGCGGTTTGTCTGGTCCCGGCTGGCAGCCCCGGGGGCCGACACGCTCGGGGCTGCAGGGAAGGGGCTCTGGAAAGCGCGGGCACCGGCTGTGCGCGGCAGCAGCTATGGCTGTTTGTAAACACCCTCCACGTGCGCTCGCTCTGCCCCATTCGCAGCCCGCTTCGGGCACTCAAAGATTCGTAGTTTTCTCGCGAGCCCTCAAAGGATGCAATTTTTATTCCCCCTAGGAGAGGAGGAAGCTTCGCACAGCAGAGTCCCGCCACCAGGAGAAGGGCTATGACGAGGTGAGTTAGTGCTGCCCCCTGCTGGCCGGCAAAGCAGTCGGCAACCCAGAGCAGTTGGGCCATTAGTGGGACCCGCGCGGCTCCCAGAGACACCGTAGCAGCCGCGACGCCCCTCCAACCCGCTCGTCGGAGTCCCCGCCCACGGCCGAGCGCGCGCTCGCGCGCGCAGGCCCCGCCCCCTCGCCGGCATAACGCTCTTGCGGGGGCGCGCGCGTGTTCCCTAATCCCCCGCCTTCCGGCTCCGGCGGCGACGCGAACCCCTTGCCGCCCCTCGCCACCGCCGCGCCACGAGTGTAAGCCGCCCTCTGGAGACTCGATTTGCTCTCATTGAGGTCTGGCCACCGTGCAGGCAGACGGATAGTGATGCACCGGCTCGCGGGCTGGAGTCCCCTGCCCCGGGCGGCCGCTTGCTCGCTCGTTGTTAACGACGGTGACACCCTCGTCGCCGCCGCGTTTAGGAACCGGGCTCCCTCCCCGTGAGGAAAGACGCCCCGCGCTCTGGAGCTCGCCCTTCGGGGAAAGGCCCTCGCTAACACGGCTTGTCTCTGGTCTCTTAATTTCAGGAGGTAGGCAATTTAGGTCCCTCTCTCTTCATCCAGGAAGCTCTGTGGTGCTGTGGCTAAGGCATTAGGTTGCTAACTAAAAGGTTGGATGTTCGAACCCATTATCCACTTCGCGGAAGCTAGACCAGGCGGTCTACTTCCGTAAAGATGTACAGCCTTGGAAACGCTACGAGGTGGCTATGAGTTGAATCCACTTCGTGGCAGTGTGTTTTTGGGTCTCTGTCATCCCAGATGATGTGTAATGTTTTTAGCTATCAAATTAATACGAGGCGTTAATTTTCTTAATATTGTTGTAGGATAAGGGTGGTTAATGCCACAGACCCTGATACTGAAATAAATGTTTTTCAAATTTTCCTTCAGGTGTCGCAGGATCTGAGTTCTTACACAGCCCCCACAGGAAAAACTTTTGTTGGCTTATAGAGGATCATCTTTTACCAGGATCATTGCAACACCATCTTCACTGAGCCTTCCACCTCGTAGCTGCTGCAGTGGGGCCTGATTGCCACCAATGAAGTTTTTGGATGCTTTCTTTTTTGATCATGTGGCACCATCTCATGTCCACCTTTCTCCTTTCCAGCAGCCAAATACATTAGGTTTAAGTTTGTGACCTGTTAAAGTACAGAATTTTCTGGTTGACCACTTTTGCCTTACCTGCTTATTTCTGTCTCCCTCACTTTGCTCGGTTGGCTGACTTTCATGACCATTCACCTCCATAAATTATAAATCTGCCTAGAAGAGTCAGTATTCCATACCATGCACTGTCTGATAGACAGTGTAGTCAGGGAAGTGGAATGTTGAGTCTGTAAGTCCCCTCTTGAATTAAGCTGTTTATTTCCTAGCACATATCCCAGAATATTCCCACCTGAGATTTTGTGGCTTTAGCAAAACATCTCACCTACAGTGATAAGGAGAATTGAGTATTCGACAGGAGTGTTTTAGAGAACAGTATTGGTTAAACTTCTAACCTCCAGTGAGATTCTAGTTTATAAAAAGACCTTTAAGTAAGAAGAAAGAAAAAAGATAACAGTTAACTGAAATTAGTCATTGTTTTAAAACAGTTGCAGCTGTTTTTGTGTCTCTTCTATGCCCGTATTTCATTGTGTGCAATAGAGTACCATGCACACTGTTGACACTAATAAATCCTACTTAAATTTTTTATGACTTTCTGGTTTTATGACCTTAAAATGATCCTAGCTGTTTTAAAATAGCAAGTGAAGAGACTCCTAGACTTGCTGGAAATTGACCAGTATACTACTGATACAGATCCTGAGGGGCAAGAGAGGGGCCTTAAGACCCCATTTGCTAGTCTCTTTGTATTAAAAAATTAAGTTCATAAATATCTTGTTCTAGTAAATGCCGAAATATTAGACCCTTAAAATGTTGGGGAAACGAAAACGTGTGGTATTGACAATTAAAGACAAGCTTGATATCATTAAGAAACTTGAGGAAGGCATCTCTTTCAAAAAACTTTCTGTGGTGTATGGAATTGGTGAGTCTACAGTTCGTGATATTAAAAAGAACAAAGAAAGGATTATAAACTATGCGAACAGTTCAGATCCTACAAGTGGGGTATCCAAACGTAAATCCATGAAATCATCAACATATGAGGAGCTTGATAGAGTTATGATAGAATGGTTTAACCAACAGAAGAGAGATGGGATACCAGTGTCCGGAACAATTTGTGCAAAACAAGCCAAGTTCTTTTTTGATGCTTTAGGAATGGAAGGTGATTTTAATGCATCATCTGGCTGGTTAACTCGATTTAAGCAGCGCCATGGTATTCCGAAGGCTGCTGGTAAAGGAACAAAATTAAAAGGAGATGAAACTGCTGCCAGTGAATTTTGTGGTAACTTTCAGGAATTTGTTGAGAAGGAGAATCTACAACCAGAGCAAATTTATGGTGCTGACCAAACAGGATTGTTCTGGAAATGTCTACCATCAAGGACATTAGCTCTTGAAACTGAGCAAAGTACTTCTGGGTACAGGTCAAGCAGAGAGAGAATCATTATTATGTGTTGTACAAATGCCACAGGTGTACACAAACTTAATCTTTGTGTCGTGGGGAAAGCAAAAAAGCCCCGTGCCTTCAAAGGAACTGACCTTTCTAACCTTCCTGTAACTTATTTCAGTCAAAAGGGTGCGTGGATAGAACATTCTGTTTTCAAACAGTGGTTTGAAAAATACTTTGTGCCACAGGTGCAAAAGCATTTGAAATCCAAGGGTCTTTTACAGAAAGCAGTGCTGCTTTTGGATTTTCCCCCAGCACATCCAAATGAAGAAGTGTTGAGTTCAGATGATGGCAGAATAACTGTGAAATACTTGCCACCAAATGTTACAAGCCTAATTCAACCTATGAGCCAGGGAATTCTAGCGACAGTAAAAAGATACTACCGAGCAGGACTTCTCCAGAAATACATGGATGAAGGAATTGACCCAAAAATGTTTTGGAAGAACTTGACAGTGTTGGATGCAATTTATGAAGTATCAAGAGCTTGGAATATGGTAAAATCAAGTACCATAACCAAAGCCTGGAAAAAACTTTTCCCAGGCAATGAAGAGAATTCAGGTGTAAACATTGATGAAGGAGCCATTTTAGCAGCTAATTTAGCAACGGTTTTACAGAACACAGAAGATTGTGAACATGCTGACATTGAATATATTGATCAGTGGTTTGACTCTCAAAGTAATGACTCAAACTGTCAGGTGCTTACTGACTGTGAAGGTGCTGAGAACCTGGCCAAGCCTGCTGAGCAAAAGCCTTCCAGTAAAACTAGAAAAACAGAACTGAATCCAGAAAAGCTTATTAGTCATAAAGCTGCCCTTGAATGGACTGAAAATTTACTAGATTATCTCGAACAACAAGATGACATGCTTTTGTCTGATAAATTGGTATTACGGAGACTTCGAACAATAATAAGAAGAAAACAGAAGACCCAAACCAGCAAAAATCGTTAATAGCACTCTTAAATATTTCATTGTATCTTTGTGACTCTACCTGCAATGGAATTTAATTATCCTGTTTGAAGTGCTGTGGATTCCAATACCAAATGCATTTGATACGTGATTTTAGGACTGACTGCTATTTTAGATTACTTAAACTGCAACGCTAATGTTGACACTAGTAATTGAACATTGACATGTAAATTGTTAGTCACTGTTTCTAATCTGTATTATTACAAATTAGATCATAAAGTACCTGAGGTCAGAGACTGTGTATCTCTTCTGTGCCTAAATTTCATTGTGTGTAATAGAGAATCATTCACACTATAGGCACTTAATAAATCCTTCTTCAATTGAACTTTTATGACTTTCTGAACTTCAATTTCCAAACTGAAATATGAAGGGAGTACGTTTCTATTCCCAGTACTTTTCCACTGCTGAAAAACTTAGAAGAGCTCACCAAAGATGGTAGTTGAAGTATTTTTCATTATGACTACAGGAAGCTGATGAAAATGGTCTAAAGCCTTAAATGTACAATTTCTGTACTAACAGTATTTGGGCAAACAACAATTCATATAGGCTATCTTCTAAGCATAATCAATAGGGGTAGAATAAAGTTATATTGTCCATAGGGACAAGGCTTTTCCATCTGGTCAGTAAAGGAGCATTTCTTTTTAGTTGTGGAGAATGCCATCTTCATTATATGCAAATAGATGTCTGTTCCCAAACTATTCAGATTAGAAGAGGTAAGAGTTAAATTTTACTGTCTGTCATTTTGATCCTATGATAGTATGAATATATCAATAGCTTTTCTGCTTAGTAAGCTACTTGATCTTTTATGTAACTCTAAAGTTCACAAAGTATGTCATGATTTCATAGAGCTTATTTTTCAATGAAAACCAACACTGAGAATATAAGAGCATACATTTAATTTTTGGAACCAGCACATGAACTCTAGACTAGCATTAACTAGAGCATAGGAGAGACACTATGGAAGAGCACAGACATCCGAGCCACACTGCCAGACTATGGGCAAGTTACTTAACCCATTTGTAAAACAGGGATAAAACCCACCTAAGAGAGCTTTTAGGAGCTCTGGTAGCATAGTGCCTAAGGCACTTGACTGCTAACCAAAAGGCTGGCGGTTCAAACCCACCAGCCACTCCTTGGAAGGACGGTTGGGCAATCTACTTCTGTAGTGATACTGCTTTAGAAACCAAAGGAGGGCTCGCTATGAGTCAGGGCTTACTTGACAGCACACAACAACAAGAAGAGGGTTTTTGTGAGGAGTAAATGAGTTAATACATAGACTTTCAAATAGTATGTGCTAAGAAGGGGGCCTGGCTCAGAAATCTTTGAGTGTTGTTACTAGTTGCCATCACGTTGGCTCAGATTCATGGCAACGCCATGTGTAAGGAGTAGAACTGCTCCATTGGGCTTTCAAGGTTGTGACCTTTCAGAAGCAGATCATCAGAACTGTCTTCAGAGACACCTCTGGGTAGGATTGAACCATCAGCCTTTTGGCTAGCAGTCTAGCTCTTAACTGTTTGCATCACTCAGGGGCTTTTTTTTTTTTAATGTTAAGTATTGTCACTATATTGCAGAAAGTAGATGTTCAGAAGTGTGTTAAACAGATCCAGTGTATTCAAAGTAATGCTCTGCACTGGGAAAACACAAGGCATCTCTTTTTCCTAAGATAAGAGAAATACGGTTAACTAGAGTCAGATAAAATGCAATAATTTATCTCAATGAAAACTGAAATGTTAATCCAATTTATAAATTAATTATTGCCCATCTCTTGTTAATCACAGTGAGACATAATAGGGATATTTAAGATATCTTAGGTTGTTATAACAGAAAATGGGAATGGAATTGTAATTGCTTCGGTTCAGGTGTGTTAGCACCCTGCTCATAAACAGATGATGGCTTTGTGTTGTTGCTGTTGTTATGTGACGTCAAGTCAGGCCCGACTCATAGCGACCCCTCCTTGGGTTTCTGAGGCAATATCACTATGGAAGTAGATTGCCCAACCTTCCTTCCGAGGAGGGGCTGGTGGGTTTGAACCACCAGCCTTCTGGTTAGCAGTCAAGTGCCTTAGGCACTACACTACCAGAGCTCCCATTGGCTTTGGTATAGGAGAAAATCTGTGTTAATAATAGAAATATGATTCACTGGGGTAAATATTTTTAAAATAAGTTACAGTCAATAGGACATTTGGAATATTCTACTAAAGTAATACAAGATCAATAGAAAAATCAAACGAAAAGAAGGATTAGAAGACCCAGTTACAGTAATTAGGTCAAGCCCTCTATACCCAGTAATAGGTTACTTTGTTTGATTATTTTTAGGAGACTTTAGAACACTTATCTGACAATTTTTCGATAATGAGATTCAGAATTTTGTCTTTTGAGCTGACACTTTGGGTTTGAGGATGGCTTGTTCAGAAGACATCTAAGAATCCATTCTTTTTGAAGGAATTCATACATTATTAATGGGTCCCTAGATCTAGACAAATCTCACAAGATCAGCTTGAGGCTGGCTGTTTGACTCCCTGTAGGCCAATAATTCTGAAACTTGATGATGAGGATGATGTCATTATTTGTAATTTGCATAGTGCTTTGCATTGTTCACAAGGAGCTCTGGTAGAGTAGTGGTTAAGCCATTTGGCTGCTAACCAAAAGGTCAGTGGTTCAAACCCTCCAGTTGCTCTGAGAAAGAAAGATGAGGTAGTCTGCTTCTGTAAAGATTTACAGCCTTGGAAACCCAATGGAGGTCACTATGAGTTGGAATCAATTCAATGGCAGTGAGTTTGGTTTTCTGTTTTTCATGGTACTTTTTGCTAACATTACTTTTTAAAATTCCTTTAATCTGATATTAAAATAACTTAATCTTGTGTTTTATCATAAATATTTATATAAATTTGCATTCTAATTCCATAATCTGTTACAAAACAAAAACCTTTCACATTCAAAATATTGTAATATATCAGATCCCCTAGGAAGATGCATTCTGATTATCCTGGGGTAACTACATTCCCCTCATAGTTTTATCTGCCCAATTTGAGATGCTCAAACATTTGTGCTCTCATTTACCTTTGTGCACCTTAAAATATCCACAGATTCTGATTATTGGATACCATTTATAAAATACATATTTTTTTTTAGAGTATTTGACATACTTAACTCAGACTAAATGGGCAAGTGGAAGCTAAGAGAATACTTGTTTGGTATAATTTGGGAAGCCAGAAACAAAAGGAGTTACATGTGCATAATAAAAATACAAAAAACATACTGTCTTCACCCACATTTGTGGCCAACCTAAAGATGGAGTTCAACATATTTATTGTAATTTTTTAATGGAGCTCTAGAAGTGATTTATGAATATCTCTATAACTTTGAACACAGGTATTTGGGAATTTTCATTTCATAGTGATTCCTAATAATGAGGTTATCAGCTATTACCACTGTAACTAGTTAAATCACAGAGGAATATGATGTTTTAGGGCTACTATCTGTATATTAACAAAATTAGTAAGATTTTGAAATGTTCAACTTTTTTCTACCAAAATAAATAAAAAAAAAACACCACCTTAAGTTGATTCTGACTCATAGCGACCCCCATTGGGTTTCCAAGGCTGTAAATCTTTACAGAAGCAAACTGCCCCATCTTCCTCAGAGTGGCTGGTGGGTTTGAACCACAGACGTTTTGGTTAATTGACTGTGTAACTCAGCTTCATTAACCTATGACGTAACCTCCACCAAAGATGCTTTTGTTCTCAGGAAATCTGTTAATAAACAGCTGAATTTATAACCAAAGCACACCTAGTTTCTTCTGAGGCCAACAAAACTACTTATTTATCAAGAAAACAAAATTACCTCTCAGCCTAAAAAGAAAAACATTTCCTTTTTCTCATCTACTCAAGCAATTAACAGTTTTTTAAAAGTTGTATCACAGGATAAGGCTTTAAAGATATATATATATTTTTAACTGGAAATATCTGAAAATGTTATGCACATAATCTAGAACCTAAATTTTGGGGGGCGTTTAAAATAATAATAAAAAAAAAAGTTGGCAGTTGGAACCCACCAGCCTCTCAGCAGGAGAAAGATGAGGCAGTCTGCTTACATAAAGATTTATAGCCCTGGAAACCCTATAAACCCTATGGGGGTTGTAATGCAACGAAATGAACTCCATGCCAGTAGGTTGTTTGGTTTGGTTGTGTGTGTGTGTGTGTGTGTGTGTGTGTGATTATAAAATTAATTCAGAAGTTGAATGTAGTAGGAACTTTGATAATCCATGTGCTCTAATCCAAACTAGTTTGTCTATTTTGATATAATAGTCAAAACAACAGTATGGTTGTATTTTTCCAAGTTGTTAGGACAAAGGTGCCATCAAATTGATTTTCGGTTCATAGTGATCCGTGTGATAGAGTAGAACTCCTAGGGTTTTCTAGGCTATAATCATTACTGTAGCAGATCCATTGGCCACAGCTGGATGTGTTGGAAGCACTAGTCTTTTGGTTAGTAGTCCAGGACTTAACCATTTTGTCACTAGGTCTCCTTATGTTATTGTTAATTGTGAGAAAATAATGCAGGGATAGCATTTCCATTTTGTGTTGATCAGATTTTAGGAGGATTTGCTTATTTACTTTAACATTTAGAAGAGTTTTGTCCCCTCAAGGTATTAGTAAGATATTTCAACTGTAGCATATAAAACCTAAAAACCAAACCAAACCCACACCATTGAGTTGATTCCGACTCATATTGAGCCCCATTGCGTTTCCAAGGTGGTAAATCTTTAGGGAAGTAGATTGCCCCATCTTCCTTCCCTAGAGGGGCTGGTGGTTTGAACTACCAACTTGTCTGGTTAGCACACAAAAATCTTAGGCACAGGGACTTCCGGTAAGATGGAGGAATAGGCAGACAAGTGGAACAGACCCTCTTCAACAAAGAAAAGTAAAACCAATTGACAGAGATACAGAAGATAATCCTGGAGCTCTGAGCTTTGAAAGGAACTGTGCAGAAGTGGATTAGGCACCAACTAGTAGAAAAACCTGAACAAAAACAGAGACGGAGCTGTGGACTGTCAGCTACTCTGATGGGACCAACAGCCTAAATACTTCCAAGTGGTGTTGGGACCTGAGAACTGACCTAAAGATCAACCCTGGTCATCAAGGGCTGCAGGGACAACTGCTCTGGTGGCCTGTGACTAAGAAGGTGTGTTAGACTACGTTCTCTAGAGAAACCAAACCAGTAAAGCTTATATATGTATATATATATAGAAAGATTTATCTTAGGAAAATGGCTCATACACTTATAGAAGCTGGCAAGTCCAAAGTTCCTGGATCAAACGTCAAGCTGGCTTT